TGTAGATAATGCGTGAGTATTTTATAGCCAAATAATTTATCAATTTATCCAATCTACAATATTTTCATCAATTGGCTTATTTACTGTGCAGTGAATGAAAAGAGATTAGAAATTTAGAATACGTGTGCTCAACTCGATAAACACTCTCATGGAACAGGAATCATCGAGTAAAAAGAATTAACTGCCATGCTGCTTTGCCTAAAATATTTTCCAAATCAGCGCTGTAACTTTTGAGCTACCACAAATTTCGTTGCAACACTCAAGGTAGCGCAAATTCAAACGCTGACAGAAAAGAACTAAGAACGTAGATGTTGAAGATAAAGTCAAGAATAAATACAGTTTACTCATGACTATCTCCATATAGGTATGATATTGCAAGCTGAAATGAATTTCCAAAATTAGGATGATTTTTCACAAGTTTGGTCAACACCTGTGCACCTCCAAAACGTTTGTTTGTTGACCCTCAGAGGCTTGGAATGCGCTTTCGAATCTCTTTTACGTCCCTCATCTTCGTGTGCATAGTACAATCGGCATTCTGTCGCTATAACGCGTGGAATGTGAAAGATGTGAAGGGGAATCGACTTAAAGTCAATTCGTTCCTCTCTTTTTTCATTTTTACTTCCTTTTGTTGAATAAATAATGATACAGTTTTCAGGGAAGGGGGGAAGTTATCCAATCAAAGAGCTGCTCTACAACACACAGAGAATGGGGAAAGTCACGCGATGGTGATGATGAGATTTGAATACACATTCTCCAGGGTGATAATTTGGTGATGTTAACATTCGGTCACCATTCCCCCATATTCGCATTGAGAAGCTATATTTAAACATGTTCCCACGTTTTTATATATCAGTGGAGTGTCAGACTACAATATTTCGAAAAATATGTAACCAGATTGAGCAGGGACAAGAAGATATGTGGGTCCGTGATAATCTGGAATCGTGCAACAAAGACGAGGTTGTCTAGATCGTTTAAGGCTATGGGTAAATCTATTTCATGTCAGGTTAAACACCTTTTGGTGAGAATGGCGCTGAACAGTAAAATGCGGATTTGGTCAAGCTGAGAAACGATGCAACAGGGATTTGAAAAAAAAAACTGAATTATGACGGGAAAACTTGTACCATTGCCCCCTGTGTACACATCTCATTTGTCTAATGGTGGGGGAAGGTAGTGGTTGAAAATGTTCCGTTCGGATAGACTAGTATGCCTAAAATATGCAGTAATGAGTAACAATCAATCCTGATTGGTTTATCGTTCAGAACTCTACCTGGAGCAGTTGTGTTCGTTCGCTCAACTGATTTTCCAAATCACGACAATTACGGCGCAGTTGACGTATCTGTTCATGAGCCAAGAGATTTTGATGCTTTTGACTTCTTGTGGCCACTTCCAGTTGATGTGCTAGCATCTGAGAGGGGCAACAAAACATAGATAGACCGAGAAAATGGGTGAAAACAGACTGTCACGAACAATAGCGTCTGTTTAACCGGGAAATCAGACTACATACGTTGCACGGTATTTTTCCTTGGCCTCATCTGCTCAGGTTTATAGCCGGATCCAAGTGCTTTAGTACTATCTTGTTGACGGTTATCACAAAGATGCATGTGAGCTCAGGGGGATCACACTGTGACCAGTCGAAATGCTAGTGATTTATTTTTGGTGTGGTTGTGAATTTCATGAGGAGATTTAGCCATACGAGTAAAATGAAGTGTTGAATTCCACAGAGCTTGATCTCGGTTCACTCGAATGATTCCAAAGCACAAATAAAATCTGAATGAGACGAAGGTGTAAAAGTGTGTATATTGTCCCGGCCAGGTTAGTTTTCTATGTATTCGACTTTCTAAGGGACCATTATCTTTTCGGAGGAGTGCCACGTCCAGGAAGGCCAATTTGCCATTTTCTTGTGTGTTCCAACATGAATTGCATCGATTTGTGAGCCTCATTCAATATTTGGAGCAACCTTGTTGTGTTCCTACCTTTCGTCGACGTAGCGGCTGTATGAGTTTATTTATTATATTTCTTACTTCAACGTTGTTTTTTCTAATTCGGTCACAAATATATCTGCTAATAGTGGACCTAATGGGATCCCATGGCTACTCTGTCTATTTGACGGTACAATTTTCCATCAAAACAATGTGCCGTTTGAGTTACACTTGAGAATTTTACTCCTAAGTACAGAAACACCGAAGCTGTACGAGATGTGTCAAATGATTTGACGATACGGGCATATAGTCTAAACCTTCTCCAATCCACACGTTTTGCAGCATGTAACCCTAACACCTTATTTATTAAACAAGCCTTACAGCATCAACATCTATAGAAAATAGTTTTTTTTCAACATTCGTTGACTTCAGAATATCCCGATACTTGTTGATCTGACTAGCCAACCATGATGTGGCTAAATTTCGTGCTTTAAGGCTAAAGGACTAAGGGTTTTGGCTAAACCGTTGCGGATTTTAGCTGAAGGAATGTAGCTCAAGGTCAAAGGCTGGTAGATTTTGGCTAAAGGATTACGGTTCGAGGCTAAAAGATTTTGGGTGTTGGCTAAAGCTTGATGGGAAAAGGTGTAGTTTTCTTTATCCGAAGCAAGCGGTAAACGGCATGGAGGATATAATTTTTGATGAGGGAACCTTAGTCAGAATTTAAAAATTGCGGGACTCCCAACCGGAATTTTCAGTTGTTTACCATTGCTCGAGTAATGGTGCTTGCATCTGTCTGCGGAAGGGGCACAGCCTACCACCTCGTGGTGAAATAGTTGACCTTTACTAGGATGTACGGATTTCTCTTCTTAAACATTGAAAGTGATATGCGCAAGGTCGATTCTTACTCGGTAGTTAGGCCCCACTAACAACATGGGCTGCGGGATTGCTTTCAGTGCTGGGTTCAGTCCTTCAATCCGCTGGCAGGTATTGCAGTGTTACCAAAAGATACGACGACATCGTGGTGGATAATTGGCAAACAGAATCTCTGTCACACCGCCGCCTCAGTTTTTCGTTGGCCTGTATGACTGAAGTCCAGATAAACACGGCTGAGACCATCTAGAACTATTGATCGTGGAATCACTATCCGCGGTTGTTCGGCGTTCGTACAGCGAAAGTAAAGAGTTCCGTCAATGAACAATATTTTGAACCACAGATTGAATAAACACATTTCAGCGACGAATTTATCACTCAACTCTCGCCCGGTCGATTTGGGTGCGCCCAACTGTTGATGACGGTAGATCAGCTGAATATCGGGGTCATTCTCCTGTAAGATGGGCCACTGATGGGTATTTGACACTAGCTGGCGGAGAGCGACTGTTGGGATAATATCTGACGGCCTCCGAGGCGTGGCATCAGCGTTATCACCTTGTTTTCCGTGACCATACTGACACGTAAAAATATCTTCTTGAGCTTGTTCTTGTCATCGAGATACTTGACCCAAGGGATCCCTGAAATTTTGAAGCCATTGGAGCGAGTGGTGATCCATGCGGACGATTAATGGTCTTTGTAGCAGGTACGGTCGGAATAGTTTCAGGAAACCGGGTCCTGTGATGACGTTGTTCACGTTTGTCTAGACCGTGACTAGCATAAGCTATCACAGGTTCCGAGCCCGCTTGAAGTTGTAACATCACAGCCTCAATGGCGAGGTCGCTGGGGTCTGTATCCAGGATGAAAGGTCTTGCTACTGGTGTTGATCGAGGTAATGCAATAATTGGGCTGTTGTGAGAGCTGTGTTTAATCTTTTGAATGCAGTAGCTCTGTCCTCTGACCTCAAAACCATCCTCCTTTCTTTGGGGATTTGTTTTGCGTTTGTCATATCAAGGTATGTTCTCGCTCCAAAAATTTCACTGATCGACCCACATTACATCTGTGCAGTTATGACGAGCGTGTGCTTTGTGGTTCATGCTTGATTCATTCGAGCTGAGAATTTGTTTTTCAAACCCTAACTAGGATAGATTTACAATCCGAAACAGAAACTGAACTCATTCAGTTTCACTGGAGTGATAACTGGTTGCATGTACTTTACATAATCGAATTGCCATGGGGCAACGAAGTTTACTGTGCTTACCGATTCAAAGGTGTTGCGAACTTGAGTATATTGCACATGACTGCTTTCGCGATCGATACATCTCATCAGTGCTTGTTCACTAGATCGAGTACACGCCTTTTGAAGTAACTAAGTGACACGCTTTCGTCCATGATCTGCCAAAATAGTTGCATAACTAACCCAGGGAAATTGAGTAGCAAAATTAGGAATAAACTTGGAAAACTAAGGGGTAACTCTGATTCACTGCATAGCTGCAATATCCTTTTGTTTTATAGTTTGAAGTATAATTGCTAGTTGATGTCAAACACAACGAAACCCTCCAATGATTTGCATAGTGCGACTAACTGACTGATCGAAACCACTCAACTTTGCGAGAGCCAGAGTTGCATCGGCAATCGAAAATCATTCATTAAACCAGTCCGCCAAAACAAAGGGTGAGAGTGGTAAACGAAAGGCAAAATTGCCACTTGTGCTGTGCACTGCTAACGGAGTCATTGCATTTTACCACGTGTTAATTCATCTGCTCCAGCATATACAATCTCACTTCAATTCACTCGATTTGTTGTCTCCTTCATCCTGCATTGGTCTCATGAAGAAGGCGAAACCAGTTGCTATCCCAGTAGATCAATTGGCACGTTGTGGTGATCCTAACCTGCGAGGTGACGCACACCACGGGGAGACATGTTTCAGTTTTCGGACAGCTTCCAGGGTGACGTCAGCAAAGCGCGTACGTGTCACAGCTTCTACACTACAAACCATAGGTCGATTGTACCAACCAATCAGAAACCGTGCGGCCCAGACAGAAGCTGAACAACACCAGAAATACCAGCACGCAATTGGCAGAGGCTAGGATGACCAATGAACTTGTGTTATACATATTATTTAATTCCCTGATTTCTTTTAATAAACGGACTGTGGCCTTTTCCCCGCGTCTTGGTTCCGTGGGACACTGCGCGCAAGTACCAGTGTGATCCAGTGCTTACGTTGCGTCCGTGATTTCTAATCCGCGATTAGCATTTCGTGATCAGTGCGTACTACTAATACTATAATTACCACACGTTCAACGATTCTACACGTTATTCAAGGAGAATCATTGATGGATGGGTTGATTACAATCAATGTGCGTACCTTGATGGGTGTGGGATATCACACAAGAAGTGTAAACCCGGTACCCGAGAACGAAATTGGTAAGTTGTTCCCGAGTTCTTGTGCACCTATTCTTCTAAAAGCAATTGAAACTGTTAAACTCCCACACCCCATGTTATGCTATGGTATTCCCGATGATTAATATCAGTTTGCTTATGATAAGAAAAAATGAGCATTATCAAGTGCCCTGGCATATCTGGGCAACTTCGTGTAATTCTCGTTTCCACTGGAACTGGCAAGCTTTGCTGGATGTGTCATCCCAGTTACATTAAAGCATCAAATTCCGGTAATAGACCCTATCCCCCTTTTCGATGGTACGTGATGAGTGTTCACCCTTAACTCTTTCTTTCATTGACTGAAGACTATGACACTGGTAGAACTCAGTTAACTTATCTCATTGAGGATGAGGATGATGTATTTAGTTCATTACCTATTCATTTATTTAATTATTCATTCTTTCTATGTGCTATCTATTCTGCGTTTTCTTTCTTTTCTTTCTGCATCCTTAACTTCTCTAGGGCTTCCAATGAGCTCCTGATGAAACATACCAATGGTCTTCCAGGCTGAACCAAATTAAATACTGGTCTTCCGTCTGAACGTAGTAACTCTTCGTATTTTAATTCCACGGTCTATCCCTTACTGGGTCCATATCCAGTGACCTCTCAATACTCAAGAAAACAGGTACTTTTGTTGTAATGTTTGAATTGATCGTTTTTTTTTACCGCATCAATTGCATTTTTATGATTGGCCCGTACAAGACTTTAATTTTGCCGACCTGAACAATCTGATTGGTTCAGGTTTATATATAAACGCCAATTATTCCCTTCCCAAATGTGATTTGTGTCCAGTGGACTGGAGAAAATATATTGAGAGCATTTCCTGAAGAGTCGAATTTTGACAGTACTTATCTTCCGATTTTGAAGTAAACCAATGTGACATCAAAATACATGTCCGAAGGCGAACAAACCTTTTCGAATGATCCATAATCCTGATAGTACAGAACAAACATAAGAGTTTGTTGTTAGCAGCTATTCAACGGGGGGCCCTCTCCTCTATCCATTTCAAATAACCTTCCAAATGAACCTGGAATTCGATTATGATTTATGGTAATAAAGGTGGCGATTAATTAGGGGCCAGAGTAAGTGAGGAGCTTGAATCAATCGCTGTAGTGCACATAGTTCGGGGGCAAAATGGGGAGTGCTGACCATCTCAACGATAGCTGGTGTGTGTAGC